CACAAAGGCAAGTGAGCCATGGCACATATGTCTTTGGCTATGGCACATGACACATTTTTCTACACAAATACAGTTTTGAGTTTTGAAATTCATTATTTTAGGTCTCTAATGTGTTTTCAAGCTTCTGTCTTATTTTAAAACTTTCATTTAAGTATCTTTAGTATTTGATAGGAATTAAAAATGTTGAATTTGGAATTCCATTGTAAATGATTTGAGAATTCTATCTCAATTATGTAATTTTACAAATTTAGTAATCCTTTGTGGGGATTAATCCATTGATTACCATGAATTTTGAAGTTAATTATAATTTAATAAGTGAGACTTTACAATTTGCATTTATTTAACAATTAATTATTGCAATTAAGATTTATTGCATATTAACGCTGGTTTAATTTGTATTAAATTAATTAAATCAAATAATAACACTTGTAGTCATTATTATCAAACTCTAGAGTTAATTCTCCAAGTTTATTATTTTTACGCTTCTAGCTTATAAAATCATGCCAATCTGCTCATAAACTCATTGAGCAAAATAGATATATATTGGTAGAATTTAATTCATAGAAATAGTAGTAGTGATTTTGATTAATGAAAAATAAAACTCAAAAAAAACGAAATATACCAAAAATAAGTTGCCATATTTTAAAATTTTTATGTTGAATATAATAATCTATTAAGGTAGATAAATTTAATTTCAATAATTTATATTTAAAATATATTTAAATTAAATTATAAACATATTTTATATTTTAATTATTTAATCATGTACTTTAATAGAGTCAAACTCTTACAAGTTTACGTTTTGAGCTAACATCTCTATATTACAAGTTTATTTAAACTTTTGAGTTTAACAACCTTACTTGTAGTTTAGTTTTGGGCTCATTTGTTTAAAATTAAAAATAACTAATTTTATATCATTTAAAGATTTTATAAAAAGCAGACATTATTTTGTGTTTGATTATAATAATAATCAAAAATTGATTATTATATATTTTTTTAATTTTACAATATTTTTATTTTTGTTTTGTTTTAAATAATTTAAATTTAAAATTTTATGATATTTTTTTGTACTCCACTTTTTTAAAGCATTCTCTCTCGTTAATGGCATCAATTTTATTTTCACAAAGTATTTAAAGTAATTTTTTAAAATAATAATTTTTTTAATTTTGATCATTTTTAAAGTTTAAACAAACATTATAAAAAATCTTAAGATTCTCTTTTTTACCAAAAAAAAAATAAAAACACACAAAATAGATTTATAAAATAATAAGTGAATTTTTTATAAAATAATTAAAACAAACAGTCCTTTGTCTACCAATATATAATACGTAATAAACGGCAGAGTATGTAAATGAATTATAAACTCTCAAATATTATATCTTTAGTTTTTCCTCTAATTTATTTTAATAAGTCACTTATTATAACTAATTCATTAAAACCAATGTGAGTTGGTTAGGATAATAAAATTATTTTAAAATAAATCACTATTTATTTATCTCTAGATTCAAAAAAGAGTGATTTAATATATGGGAAGATTTTTTTAATTAAAATATTATATTTTTCTTTAAAATTTCTTAGAAATTGTACCTCAAGGGTTGCAAACCCCAACAAAAAAAAGTAATTTATATAAAGAACTAAAAAAATTTACAACATCACTTATAAAAAAGGTTGAAAGGAATAGTATTTATTTTTATTTTATTTATAAGGTGCCTTAATGATTATTAGTTTTATTTTTATTATTTTACTCCTATTAGATATTAGAAAGGTTATTAAATACTAGAATATTTTATTTTTAAAATATATTTAATAAGAGTAAAGTTGAAAGCCTCTTGAATTTTTAAATAGAGTTAATAATATTTAATTTTTTTTATTCTAGTTAAATATGATGTAAAAACTTATGAATAAAATCAAAGAGAGTACAAATTAAAACATTTAATGGAAAATTTAATATAGAATTAAATCAAACGAGGGGGTTGTGAATTGATTGCATAACATAATAATTAATCATAAACTGAATCAGTGAGAATTTCTTTATAGCCTTTCAGAAATAAACATTTTAATTTCTTTACAATTAAAATGTACTCCCTCCAGAATATAAACATTCTCCTTTAATTCAAAATACTGCTTTTGATTCTATTTATAAAGCATAGAAAAAAATTATATTATTTACAAATTATCTCATTAAATTTTTAATGCAAATTTTCTCTTTTATTTTCAATTGAATGTTGAAGAAAAAAATAAATTACTCCCTCCATTTAAAAATATAAAGTATTTTTTTAAGAGTTGGATGTTCAAAAATGTAATACATTTTTAGTCTTTGAGTTGTTATTATTGTCTTTTTTTTAAAAGTGCCTCTATTAATAATGAATTTGCATTTATTATAGAGTATTTAATAGAGATAAATACGAAAAGATAGAGTTAGTTTAAAAATAAGTAACTACTTTATTAGAGGATGAGATTTAATTAAAAATATCTTATATTTTTGAACGAGAGAGTATTAAAGTATACATAATAAAGATAAAGTTAAAAATTTATTAAATTTTAAATAGAATTAATAATTTTAAGATTTTTCTTATTCTAGTAAAACATTTTAAAAGTAAATTTAAATAAGATCAGAGGAGTATAAAAAATCTTGTATATGTAAATTTTTTCTCTCCATTTTATCCTGTTATTTATTAATTTAGAACCTCTTGCAAAATTATCTCTCACTCATAATAAAATATTTGGTAATTGGAACTAAAAATAAAAAAATAATATATATTTTTAAAAAAATGAGGATTTTATTGGTAAACGGATTTAAAAAAAAACCTATTTATATTTTGAATCAAAGGAAGTTACACATACCATGAGTTGGATTTGAATTCTCAATCATTTATTTAAATAACCAAAGCATGTGTCACACATGAAGCATTGTTATTTCAATTGTTTTTTTGTATTCATATTGATATTGGATATACTTGTTTATACTTCTTCTATACATATTCATAATATTAAAATATTATTTTTAGTTTAAAAATTAAATTTTAATATATATTTGATACTTTAAAATTGTGAGTAGATGCTTCAAGAAAATTTTAAAAAATCAAATATTAATAAAAATTGTGATATTAAACTTTTTATTACTAATATCTTTTTTATTTGCTTTTAAAGTTAAACATTATATTTTTCTTAAAAAATAAATTTTAGATATAATAAAAAAAATAAAGATTACATTTTTTGTAAATTATAAAAACTTGGAAATATAATCTCATAAAATTTAAGAAAGAGAAGATATTGATATTATATTTATTACTAAAGATTAGGCAATGCGTAATTAGATAAAGATAAAATAAAATTTTAATTAATAATTATGTTTTATTTGTTATTATCATATAGGATTTTACATGTATAATTTAATTAAACATTTTTAATTAAAATTATATTTTGAATATTTTTATTATATATATGTATGTATTTATAAAATATATTCGATATTTTTAAAAATGAACGATCGGATGTGATACATATCCGTATCAGTTCATGTGGATCACAGTGTGCCAATCACCTTAATTTTAATGTTATATTTTGTAACTTATTAGGTGACAAGCTATGATTGGCCACTTTTACGTGGACAAAAGCCATCCGGTGCCTATAAAACCAAGTTTGGAATTTTCATCCAGAAAAAACAATCAAGTTTGGAATAAACGCGTTGTTTATTTATTAATTAATATAATTATCGAAGGCATAGAAAGATACAGCACCGCCGGCCTGTCCATCCCCGTTTCAGATCTCTCGCTTAACTGGTGCCCGCCCATCCCAGGTACCTTTTGGTCGTCTTCTTTTGAATTTTTCGATTCTTTTTTTCTCCAATTTTTGATTCAGATCACAGATCTGGCGTGTTTCATAAATGTATCAGGGTTTTGCAGTTGAAGATTTATAGCGTCAATTCGTTTTGTTTGATTGAGTTTTTCTTAGTTCTGAATCTGATCTGTTAATTTATTCAATCCTTTTCTGGGATTTGATTGAGTCTGTGTTTTGCCGGAATTTAGTTTGACACCCTGTTGCGTCGTCATGGCGCCGTTTGCTTTTATTTGATTTTGTTGTTTTCCCTATAATTTCGTTAGATCCAATTAGAATTTTCACTATGATTTAATATTTAGAAAATTCTTCTTGCAGATCCAACTTCTGTTTCCTTTTATATGGTATTTTTTGTTCATATTCCTAGTGGTTGTTGAATTCTTGTTTGGATTCGTAATTGTTCAACTGGCTTGTTTAGTGGAAAATAGATTGTCACCAGAATGTCAATACTATACGGACGGCTTTTGAGATTCACTAACATGAGAATCTCATAGTGGATCTAATGAAAAAATGGCTCAATATCCTATCCGGTAGAGCTTTACCCGAAAAAAAATTGCTTGTTTTTTATGTTGGGAATCAATATTCAAGAGAGCTTAAGATATCTGCAGATGTCTTGTTTATTGATGATCGTTATTCTGGTATTTTCCTGTCATGTTAATATTTAAGATGAAGCAACGTCCTGTTTTTTGAGAGGTTTATCAGATCATCAATTCAACAAACTTAAAAGTGAGGGAAAGATATCGATGTAATTTAAAATTAATAGCACTTCTCTGTTGCTTCATTGTAGGTTCTAGTTATTCTTTGCACCTAGACTGCGAAAGTTTCTCAGTTTATTTTCATGAAGATTTCGAGCAACAGAGCATACTGTGTGCTTCATATTTGTGCGTTTTGGAGGCTTTGCGTGTATTCTTTGGATTGACCTGCTAAATCTCTGTATATCTGTTTCAGAAAATGGCTTTAGGTGGAACAGCTCCCCCCAGAGGAAGTGCAGCCGCCACTGCAAGTATGCGCAGGAGGAGAACAACCGGTGGAGGAGCTTCAGGAGGGGCAGCCGGAACTATGCTTCAATTTTACACAGATGATGCACCAGGACTTAAGATCTCCCCTAATGTGGTTCTGGTAATGAGCATTGGCTTCATAGCATTTGTTGCCATCCTTCATGTGATGGGTAAGCTGTATTTTGTGCGCAGAGAGGCTTAGAGGATTAGCAGAGAAGAGCAGAGGATTGAATTTTAAGTTGGATGTATTTTTAATTTTAATTTTAGATACAAAAAATTCATGTTCCATGACAAAAGATGGATTTTTAGGATTGGATCTGTTCTTTCTTTTATTAATCATTTTACCAATTGTTGAGCATAGACTTCTTTTCTTATTTTCATTGTTTTTTTAACTATATAATTGTAGGCTTTGGTTGATAGGAGAACTAGCTGCCAGGGAAATCATATTTCAGTGAAATGTTATCTTTCTATAGCAAGACGCTTGCGTTTAGCTTTAGCCGCATTGTATTAAGATCAAGCCAATAAGGGGGTGGAAAGTGGTGGAAATATCATATAATCTGATTTGGTTCGTTTTAATGCATCTTGGTTTGATCAAATCGCAATAATATTACTGAATACCAATCATAATTAAGTCCTTCCAGTTCCGAACCTTGGTCTTCCCTGACATCTAACAAATGTAGAATTAGAATGGAAGGTCCAAAAAATAGTGAGCCGCTAGGCGATAGGAGGGTGATAACGGATTCAGGGTGGTTCAGAATATCCCCATAAGTTTTCAATCCCATGAGACAAGAAGTTATATAAATAATGCAGATGGTGTTGCTGTGGTTGAATTGTTTATTGATTGCTGGCCGCCAGAAGGAATAATATAGAATGAATCGTTGCTAAGAAATTGAAGGCATCATATATTTTGGCCAAAAATTGAAGCCATTATAAAGAAGGTTTTTTGATACCTAAAATTTATTTATATTATAAGCCAACGTATCATTCACAAGTCATTTACCTTGATATTATGACCCTTATCATGCATTGCAAAAAATCACTCCATCATTTAGTTGTAATCATCAACTATCAATTATCAATCGATGTATTCAAAAAAATTCATAAGAAACTATTTATTAGATAGTGTAACTTATTAATCTCAAATTTCATATAAAGTCTCAAGGCAGGTTCTTGCTATTTTCAATAACTAGCTTTTATCAAACAGGAAGATTATATTAATAGTAAAATTAACATAATTGATATTCTTTCAATAACTTGTAATATTAGTGATCATTAATGAACTAATATAGACTGATTTAATGATTTTATTAGTGTTAAAGAGATATTTTGTAGAAAAGCTTACTATTGTCTTGAGCGCTTAGTGCTTACTACCAGGATTTTAAATAAAATTTTACTATTATATTCTTAGTATTTAGTTATTTACTCCTTCATGCGATACACAAAAATCAAATGTTGTACTTTAACAACAATTAAAATCACACAACGATTCATAATCATAACTATGGAAGGAACCTATTGTAGTCACATAATGAATTACTTCGACAAATTTAAATATGATTAGAAGATATTAAAACCAAGTAGCCAAAGTGAATATGAGAAAACATGAGAGAACAAGGTAACCAACAAAAATGTTCTTCCAATAAATTGAAAATATAAATGATGCACTACCTGTGGTCCTAATTATCAGGCAATATTAACTAGTTTCAAGTGTTCTAAAAAAGTAATAGTTGATACTTTAAATTTATAAAAAAATTGTATGATTTTTCAATTCTATAATTAAGGACAGGTAATGTTGGGAAAAGAATATTTAACCACCACATCTTTACTCTACATTTAGGTCCATGTAGGATTCTTTTTTTTTTTTTTGGGAGGTAAAAGGTCCATGTAGGATTTTAAAACTTTATCTTATAATTAGTATTGCAAGGGTGTGAAAAAATTAAAAATAATATAAATATATAATAATGTACAATTAATATTTAGAATTTGAATTTTTATTAATTAAAATCATTCATATATTTATATTTTCTAAATCTTCATCAATTTTAAGTTATAAAGTTTTCAATTAATATTATTTATGGAAGTGGAAACACATATATACTTATGAGATACAATGATATTTTCATAATTCTAAACCGAATTATGGTAGTGATATTCATTACGTATAATTAATTGTGGAGTTTTTATTTCTAATAAAATCAACTTATTTTTAACAAAATAAATAAATTACAAGTATTTTTAATTTTACTACCCTACCAAACTAATTGGTTTAATTAAATAATGATATAAAAGCTAAAACATAAGTATATATCTTTCTCCTTTGAGATATCTTTCTAGTTTTCTCAAAAATTTTTAATATAAATTAAAGAAAACAAATATATAATAAGTTGAACTAAATTGAAAAGTCTTGTGTCCTTATCTTAAAACAAAACTATATGCTAAAACCAATTTAATGATTAAAATTAAAATAAAATATTAAACAACAAAACTCAAAACAATAGACTATATAAAGCTTTGCATGTAAAGCTTGGAATTAGCTGGTACATAAGCATGAATTTACTCAAAACTATAATTTGGTGGATTGTCAGATTAATTACAATAGAAACATTTTAAGTAGATGATTGCATCTACTAATCTTTGTGCACTTGATTTTTCAAGTATAAATAGGGCTTTTATGAGATCTGACCATCATTTCTTCTGCAATATCATATAAAAAATTGATTTCATAATCAATGAAAGTTTAAATTATTTGTAAGATTGACAAACATGTTTCAACTTGAGCAAAAACCCAAAGAAGCTTTTCATTTTTCAATGTGAAAGAAGAATAAATATTACTACCTCTATCCCAAATTATAAAGCACTTTTGAAGAAGTTTCTCCATCCTAAAATATAAGACACTTTGGGTAGATTAATGTTTCATTAAATGCACCAATTTTAATATTATTTTTTCTCTCTTTATGATTAATTTGCATCATTTTTCTTTTTAATATATTAAATGATGGGTATTTTTAAAAAATTTATATTTTTGTTTTGGAAAGATAAAGTTATTAAGTGTATTTAATGAGGTTTATTAATATGTGATATTTTGTCTAAAAGTATCTTATAATTTGGGACAGAGGGAGTATGAATCATACATTAAATTTCCACAATAAAATTTAAACCCTTGACTTTATATTTGATGAAATTCTCATCCCGAGAAATTCCACATCTGTTACACCTCTAAACATGGACATTTAATATGCTTTCACAAGACCTGAACCATTATTGGCTTGAGCTTGGCAGTGTTTGTTAAAACTAAAATGAATATAAATGACTATTACAATAGATAATTTTTAATTGTTTAATTGCAATAAATATAATATATAAATATTTTTTTATTATTTAATTGAAATTTGTTAAAATGTAGGCTTCAATCCAAAAATAAATAAATGATACACTTCTAGTGGATTCTCTCTGTATGATGCTACACAGAGAAACGAAGAATGATCCCGCTTAGATAAAATAGAAATAAAATGGAGGAACAAAAGCACAAACATAGCAAGAATGAAGGGGGAGTTTGATTTGAGGGCAAGAAAATTGATGGGATCATAAAACAGAGCATAATGGTCAGCACAACACGTAAGGAAAACAAATTACCTTGTTTAGCTGCACAAACTCCAATTCTCAACATTCTTTTCTCAACCCACATGCCTTGGTCAAAATCAGAACTAATAGTCAACCTCTATTTCCACTAACAATTTCTCAAACTCTTGCAACAGGCATCATGAATAATGAGAAATGGAAAATAAAAGAAAATTATTATAAAAGACAAGAAAGGAGAAAAAGAAAAAAAAAAAGCATACTCAGACATGTATGTAGAAGGGAAGTAGAAGCAAAGAGACATGAATTGAATACATTGATTAGAAACACACAAAATATAATAGTGCAAAGCATTAACTAACTAACTTGATTGAAGAAAATCTAAGCAAGAGTTAGTGATCCTCTGTTAAGGGTGAAAGTCAAGAATGAGAGGGAAGAGAAATGGGAAGAAATGCGCATAATAAAACCATGTTACCAGATTTCTACCGGAAATATTTTTTTTCATTCATGTTCAAGCCTAATTGTGCTATAAGTGTGTTTCGTAAGAGATTTGAAATGCTCTAATCTCTGAGGAAGAAAGGTATAGAACCTTTACATTACTAAATAGAGAAGGCTGACCTTGTCCCTAGATAGGAAGAAAAACGGTCGCATCAAATCGTGGGTACATCATGCAACCTATGCAATTACCTATTTTTTACCCATGTCTATTATAAATTAAAAATTAAAAATAAATATAAAAAAATTAAACTAGTTACTTTGCAATATCTATGATTAATACGTGGAGAGATTTTTGGGCGGAAAGTTATGATACCTAAACTTTAAAAAAAAATTAAAAAAAATATAACTTTAGGTCCCTATACTTTACTCGCATTTTACTATTAATTTATATATCTTTTTTTAGTATTTTTAGTTCCTATATTTTTATTTTTTATTATTTTAGGTTCTTCCAAGATCCTTATACTTTGTTCATAGAAGAACTTAAAATAATAAAAAATAAAAGTACAGGAATCAATAATAAAACGTGAGTAAAGTATGAGGATTTAAAGTTATATTTTTCTAAAATTTAAAATCAACATTTAAAATTGTAAATAAAAAGTTTGGAAGTTATGATAATATTTAAAGTGAGGAGATAATTGATAGTGGAGAGTAGGGTTGTGCAAAAGTCCTCTGATCCTGTCTAACCCAGTCTAACTCGAGATGGTCTTATCTTGTCCAATCCTTATAAACATTAGTCTTTCAAGACCAAAAAGATTAAGAAGATTAGACTATTTCTTTGGGTTGGACTGGATATGAGACTGGACATCCGGACCACTTGGTCTAATCCAGTCCTATTAATTTATTTAATATAATTATAATTTATTTATTTTTGATAATGCTTTAAGTGTAATTTATGCTAAGGAGATGATTGCATGAAAATTGGTTGAGTTTGTTTCTAATAATATAATGTTGTTGAAGTTTGTTGAATATTATTTTGTTGAAATTATAAATTTAAACCATTTAGATTGTAATTGAAATATTTTTTTTGTTAAAAATTATTTTAAATTTATTATGATTATAAGTGATCTTATTATCTTAATTGAGTTTATTAGGTTGAAATGGATTATGCCTCTCATAGAGAAAAAGTAAAAAAAAAGCTAAATGAGTATTATACTAACAGGACCAATCTCTCAATTTTATAGACTAAGTTCAATCTTGTTAATCTTCGAGTTATTACTAGACAACACTTGACTACAAGTTGCTTAACTCAGTCTTTTTCATGAAAAAGATCAAATTTCGAGTTAA